TTCAACCCTTTTACCCTGTCACAGCTCAGTCGATTAAGGCAGTGTCTGGGATGCTCCCGGACGCAGGTTCGAATCCTCGCCACGGCCCTTGTGGATTTGTTCATTTATCCAAACTAGACTTACTCAAGGGATACTACCAAGTATGTTTGACAGAGCGAGCTAAGGAAATATCTGCCTTGACCACTCCTTTTGGCCTTTACAGATATGAACGCCTTCCATTTTGACTATGTAATGCCCCGGCCACCTTCCAGCGAGCTGTCAACCGCGTCATCCAGGGCTTAGATAACACCTACGCCTACTTGGATGATATCGTTGTGGCAACTAACACCTGGAACGAACATCTGCTCCAGCTGCAATGATTGTTCGCCAAGCTCCTGACAGCCGGCCTCACCATCGACTTGGGCAAGTCCACCTTTGCTAAAGGTAAAGTGCGTTATCTTGGTCATGTGATAGGGAGTGGCAGCCTAGCTCCGTTAAACATACACACTCAAGCCATCCAGCATTACCCACAGCCTACCACCAGGAAGCAGCTCCTGCGCTTCCTTGGTCTTGTCTCCTACTACCGTAGGTTTGTGAAGAATTTTAGTACGGTAGCGACACCATTGATCACTTTAACCAGCCCCAAGCAACGGTATCATTGGACCATTCAGCAAACCATTGCTTTTGAACAACTTAAATCTCTGCTCTGTTCTAATCCCATTCTCGCCTCGCCAGATATCACGAAGCCTTTCATCCTCCATGTCGACGCCAGTGGTACCGGCATCGGGGGCGTCCTGATGCAACAAACAGGCGAGGAGGTTCTACCTGTTAGCTACTACAGCTACAAGTTAAAAACACACCAGAAGAACTACAGCACTATCAAAAAGGAACTCCTCTCCATCGTCCTGAACTTACAGCACTTTGCATCTTACCTACAAGGTGCTCGGTCTACCACCATCTACTCGAACCACAATCCCCTACGCTTCTTGCAGTAAGCCCAATTCAACAATCAACGACGTCTACGATGGGCTTTGTATCTGAAGAATTTCAACCTGGAGATCTTCTACATTAAGGGTTCTGACAACATCATAGCAGACGCCCTATCCAGAGTCTATGAGGTAGAGGCCGCTACACCTACCACTCTACAATCTGAAGACGTAACTTCACCCATTAGAGCAGGCTTTGGGGGAGAGTTGTGACGATAATCTCTTTCAAGAGAGATTGAGCCTGCTCTTCCCTACATAAAGTTACTTTATATATATATATATATATATATATATATATATATATATATATATATATATATATATATATATATATATAGCTATATATATATATATATACAACAATAAGATGCTACCTTCAAGATACGTCTACCAGTAGCACAAAACGTTTTGACCAGGAGGCAAGCGTACCCTAAACTCCCCCCTACTCCACACTCCCTCCATGCCGGCTCGCCACCGTCATCCAGCAAACTACCATTCCCAGCCTGCCTGCTTCTGATTGGTGACCCGCCGACTGCACACCTGCACCTCTACACCTTAACGCCCTCTACTTAGTCGATATCTGGGCTTGAACCAGTCATTGAAGTAAGAATATCTTGTGCTCTCATGCTGTGAACAACTAACTGATATACGCTCTGTCTATCAGGTGGATGTTTCTCAGCTAGCGCTTTATTCTCAGCACCTGCTTATTTCATTTTGTCTTTATATTATAGAGTAACGTCATCCCTGTTCTTAATTTTTGTTATATTTTTTGACTTGTTTGTTTGCACTGTACATAGCCAAGGAATTGTCTTTGTTTTTAATTTGCTTTCAATTGAGTTAAAGTTTCATTATTCATACTATGTGTTTTGCGTGTATTCCCTTACTTTACCACAGACAACAGCCATGCAGTCGATCTTTTTTTTCTTTAACGTGATAGGCATTGACACCAGCCATTAGGAGGACTGCCGAACATCTACACTCCTTCATTTTTCCGTCACAATATATATATATATATATATATATATATATATATATGTCGTACCTAGTAGCCAGAACTCACTTTTTGGCCTACTATTCAAGGCCCGATTTGCCTAATAAGCCAAGTTTTCCTGAATTAATATATTTTTTCTAATTTATTTCTTATGAAATGATAAAGCTACCCATTTCATTATGTATGAGGTCAATTTTTTTTTATTGAAGTTAAAATTAACGTAGATATATGACTGAACCTAACCAACCCTACCTAACCTAACCTATCTTTATAGGTTAGGTTTGGTTAGGTAGCCGAAAAAGTTAGGTTAGGTAGGTTAGGTAGTCGAAAAACAATTAATTCATGAAAACTTGGCTTATTAGGCAAATCGGGCCTTGCATAGTAGGCTGAGAAGTGCGTTCTGGCTACTAGGTACGACATATATATATATATATATATATATATATATATATATATATATATATATATATATATATATATATATATATATATATATATGTCGTACCTAGTAGCCAGAACGCACTTCTCAGCCTACTATTCAAGGCCCGATTTGCCTAATAAGCCAAGTTTTCCTGAATTAATATATTTATTATAATTTTTTTCTTATGAAATGATAAAGCAACCCTTTTCTCTATGTATGAGGTCAATTTTTTTTTATTAGAGTTAAAATTAACGTAGATATATGACCGAACCTAACCAACCCTACCTAACCTAACCTAACCTATATTTATAGGTAAGGTTAGGTAGCCAAAAAAGCTAGGTTAGGTTAGGTTAGGTAGGTTAGGTAGACGAAAAAACATTAATTCATGAAAACTTGGCTTATTAGGCAAATCGGGCCTTGAATAGTAGGCTGAGAAGTGCGTTCTGGCTATTAGGTACGACATATATATATATATATATATATATATATATATATATATATATAGTATATTAGTATATTTTGATAGCAGTCTTTCTTGTAGACATATATTATTATATATGACCGAAAAAGTAAGATTAATAATTTTAACACAATCGGAAACAATAGTTTCAATCGGGATGAAACAATCGGGATGATAGCCGACAGAGTGTATCATGATCCAGCCTGTACTCCCCTTGACATACCAGAAAATATCCTAAAGAAACTACTCCAAGCTTGTACTAAAGAGGCACCCTTCTTGAGCCCGGATGGGCACATGTATAAGCAAGTAGATGGGGTCGCCATGGGTTCTCCCTTAGGTGTCCTGTTTGCAAACTTCTACATGGGTACCATCGAGCAAAAAGTCTTAGTCGACATGAACATGAAACCGGCCATATACTGCAGGTATGTTGACGACATTTTTACACAGGTACCTGATGTCAGACATCTGCAGGAGTTGAAGGAGGCATTTGAGCGGAGTTCCGTGCTGCGTTTCACTTACGAGATGGAAAAGGATGGGAAGCTGCCCTTTCTAGATGTAACAGTCATGGAAAAGAGCGGAGGTTTCAACACTGCAGTCTACACTAAGGAAACGAACATAGGAATGTGCCTCAATGCCAAAAGCGACTGCCCAGATAGGTACAAGAGGAGTGTTGTTAACGCATATGTCGACCGTGCTCTCAGCCACAGCTCAGAATGGAAGCAAGTCGACGAAGAACTCTGTAGGGTAAGGCAGGTCCTAGTCAACAACGGCTTCTCCAATGGTTTCGTCGAAGACATCATAAGAAGGAAAGTGAAACGCCATGCAACCTCTGAAGAGACAACCAACACAACACCTATACCCCCTATTAGACTATTTTACAGGAACTTCTTTTCCACAGCTCATAAAACGGAGGAAAGGGTCCTGAAAGATATTGTTAATAGAAACGTTATCCCTACAGACAAAAATCAGAGGATACAACTGACGATTTACTATAAAACCAGAAAAACGGCCAGCCTACTCATGAGAAACTCTCCAGACACAAAACAGAATGCTTTAAAAGAGACTAACGTCGTCTATGCCTTCAAATGCCCTCTTGGGGACTGTAAGCTCCAAAAAACCCAGTATATAGGCAAGACAACAACATCTCTTTCTAGGCGTTTAACGATGCATAAGCAACAGGGCTCCATTAAGGAACATATAATCTCTTCCCACAACCAAACCATCGCCAGAGAAATCCTAGTAAACAACACAGAAATCATCGATAGATACAGTGATACCAGGCGGCTTGACGTTTGCGAGGCATTACACATCAAGAAGTCAACACCAGCAATCAACAGCCAATTAATGCACAACTATATTCTACCCACCTCAAGACTCCACTCCAATATAGAAGCATCAAGAAATATGGACCAATAGGCTTTCAACAATCACTTCTATTCAATACCCATTGTTTCATGTTCCGGCTTGTGTTGATGAAATTAATACCTTATTAAATACCACCTCACTCAAATGTAGATATAAACAAAATCGGAGATGTGTAAGTTCTATTCAGTTGTGTATGTGTTAACTAGAGTCTTTGAAAATGTAATAAGTTTTACGAAACGCGCTCAAGTGTCGCGTCAGACTAGAAATAAAAATGAATTTTGGAGAATTGATTTTTGAATTACCTCCAACAGTGAAAAGAAATGTACGAAAGATTGAGAAAATTCGTGTTAGAATTATTAATCTTACTTTTTCGGTCATATTTAATAATATATGTCTACAGGAAAGACTGCTACCAAAATATACTAATATATATATATATATATATATATATATATATATATATATATATATATATATATATATATATATATATATATATATATATATATATGGGGTGTGAGTATATATAGTCCTGGTGTGTGTTGTGTGTATATATAATATATATATTATACAATATATAATAATTACCATTATTTAATATTAATTATTTAATCATTAATCATGCTTTTTAGCATGTTTGACTATGTCATGGAAAATTTTATTTTTGCATCTTTTTAACTTATTTTTGTTTATAACAGACTAAGAATACATTCATATTATCGAACTTCCTAAATTTGACAACGGTTAAGCTTCTTTTGACTACTTCTGTTGAAATATACAGCAGGGAGCATCACTGACCATTTCAAGGGACTGGCGGTTGTCTGAAGGCAGGAGGGTTGTGGGCAGTCGACCTGTGGAATCAGCGACATACAGACAGCCTCTCATGGTCTTCACCATCTGTCCAGCCAACTTCCAGTGCTTAGTCTCCAGTGCAGCGTGAAGAGGACTCACACTGGTCTTGGAACACAAAGAAGCCTGAGCACCAGCCAGGTAGAGGAAGCTGCATGTCAATGTACAATTGGCACGAGCAGCTTGGACCATGAGCTTTGTCAGACTCATCACTGACTCGTTTCTAGGCCAGCGTGCTAGCCAAGGCTTCTCACCTTTTATGGTGGATATGAGGTGGTGAACACCTCTGTCAAGGTCTGGCAGATCTTTGATTGTTTCATGTTCATGTTGTAATACATTCAGGAACACCTGTGAATAAATTTATATTTATGAAAGAGAACAATAGAGGAACTAGCTGTAATTATACTTCACACTTATGCTGTATTGATTACATTAGCTGTGCATTTAGAAACCATATATTATGTGAATGCACCGCGAATTACATTATTTTTTAATCTAACTAAAATACAAAAAATAGCGTGACTTTTACATATATGTGTATTTTAGTAATGTTAAAAATAATTTCCAACTCGTCATAAATCGTAGATAACATAGGTAAAAACACATGAAGTTTGACTTTTTTTAGATACAGATTTTCATCTGTTTGCAGAACTCTTTAGGAAATTTTCAATTGTACAGATATTACTGTAAAGTAAAAATTAGCCATGAGTGCTAAATGCTCTTGAGTGCTCAGTGAGTGAGTGTTGTTGTTGTTTCACAACAAACCTGGATGGAATGACTAAAACCAAATTACTGTTTTATAGAACATTATTCCAAGAAATATTCTATACAAAGAAATTTGCTATTCCAAGAAAAAGTATGTTATGCCCATTCTCAAATGTCCATGTCATGCCAAATAAGAATATGCATAACACTATTTATATCCTATAGAGTAATGACACTCATGAGTTGTAATGTGAATATATGATCATTAACAGCTTGGGGATCATTCAAACTTTTTTTTTCATAATTGTAAATTAGGCATAATTGAAGTATGTGGCAGGATTTAATGAAAATCCATGACCAAAATGCAGCATGAGTGTTGCTGACAGTCGGTTGGTCATGGTGCTCATGTGGCAGCATGTGAGCTCTCGGACCAACCAACACAGACAACCGATGGTAGAGTGGTATCAGTACTGTGGTAGCCAGTGGCTGATCCCTGCTACCTGTGTGACCAAACATATTTGATATTATTATCACAGAAACTTGAAATAATGCAGAAACCAAATCATCAATATATTATGAAGACAACACAGGAAAATCATATTGTTGAGTTAATGGTAGCTAATACAGATATATAAATCAATATCATTTATATAATAAAATTAAATTGCGTTGAACATTGAAGAAACCTTAGGTACGAGAAAGCGCTCTTTGAATAAAAAAATTTCGGCCAGAAAGTATTAACAGTTTTAGAAGCTACTTGGGGAGGGTAGACTGAGCAAACATGTGCACTGGAGATGGAGTGTCAGTCCCACATGTCATCATTCATTTCTCCTATAATATGACACAGGATTACCATGCTCATAATTATTTCAAAACGTTTAAAAATGCTATAATTTTAGCCCAGGTAACATCTTATTGTAATCACCAAAATACACAAAACTTTCAGGCCCAGAGAACATATTTGTTACCGGAGTTGCAGACTTTTGAGAAATGCAAGTTTTCCGTTACAAAGGTGAGAGAAGCTAGTGAATTTGAATTTGATGTCCACAGAGCTTGGAGAAGAATGGGGAGAGGAAGAAGGATGAGGAACTTAAATTCTGAAAAAGGTTTTGGATGGCGAATGAGGCGGCTGGTAAGTTCGGTGGCCTATCCACCATGGGGTTAGCATAAGGTATTGATCTTGGAGTTGGTCTTGCAGTTAATGTTGAAATTAACTGAAATAAGTAGGTGTAGTGATGGGTTTGATTTACTAGAAGCGTCTTCCCATTGGTGGTGGTACTCGACTTATTGTTACTTAATTCTTGGTTTGTATTTCTTCAGATTTCTTATTTCTGCAGGTGTGGTCCGTGTTTTATAAGACGTCGTGTTCTTCAACTTCACCTTCGATGTTGGCTTGCTTCGGATTGACATAGATGTCGTTCGAATGTGCTGGGGAGGCCTCGAGTAAGAAGTCCTCTGAATTGTATGTATTCACCTAGTTGTGTTTGCGGGGGTTGAGCTCTGCTCTTTCGGCCTGCCGCTCAACTGTCAATCAATTAACTGTTACCTAATTCCCAGGTACCTATTTACTGCTAGGTAACAGGAGCATCAGGGTGAAGGAAACTCTGCCCATTTGTTTTTCCGGAGGTGCCAGGAGATCGAACCCTAGTCCCTAGGTCAACAAGTCTAGAGCGCTGTCCACTCGGCCACCACCCACCCAGTGGAATCCCAATGCATTGGATAGATAGCTGAAAATCTTTTCTTCAACTCACTAACTGTTACTCAACTCATCATTGGAAATTCTAATTCAACCCAATGTGTTGAATCGATGGTGTGAAGATGTGGTCCCAACTGAAATTTCCTCGTCCGAAGAGTCCGAAGAGACTTCCATATCCGGTGCTGTGAGCCAACCCATCCTCCGAATAGACAGTGATAGTGAATACACTGGCACATATGCCTGGTGTTTTGCATCCTGTCCACTCATTTTGCATTACGTCCACGCGTTTTGGGATCATGTCCCCGCGTTTCCTGTTCCCTTACTTCTACTTGTCCAACCCCCTTTTACCCTACATGACCCACAACGTCCCGCCTGACGTTACCCGCCCTACTTCATGTGTCACCCTCCCCCCTCTCCACTCTCTTAACCTTTCTTGATGTACACCTCTTCCCATACTTGTCCCACCCTCCCATCTTAGCCCTACATACCCCTTTTACCCTCTGTGACCCACAACGTCCGCCCTGACGGTACCCGTCTCACCTCCCCCCCCCACCAACTCACTTTTGAATAGGACCGAGTTCGATCCTGGAGCATTGGGGGGCCACACTCGGCCCACCTGCTGAGGTGTTAGGATGGTTCTAGTCACATATTTAACTACTGATCACCACCCATTCATCCTTATACTCAGGGAGACCACCACCCATATATCCTTTCACTCAAGGAGACCACCACCCATACATCCTTCCACTCAGCGAGACTACCACACATACAACATTTCACTCAAGGAGACCACCACCCTTACACTCTTTCACTCAGGGAGACAACTACCTATACATCCTTCCACTCAGGGAGACCACCACCCATACATCCTTCCACTCCAGGGAGAAAACTACCCATACATCCTTTCACTAGGAAGACCACCACCCATACATCCTTCCACTCAAAGAGATCACCATAGATACATCCTTCCACACGGGGAAATCACAATCCATACATCCTTCCACTCAGAAAGACCACCACCCACATATCCTTCCACTCCAGGAGACCACTATCCATACATTCTTTCATTCAGGGCGATCACTACCCATACATCCATCCTCTCAAGAAGACCAACACCCATACATCCTTCCACTCAGGGAGACCACATCCCATACATCCTTACACTCAGGGAGACCACAATCCAAACACCCTTCCACTCAAGGTGATTACCACCCTACATCCTTCCACTCAAGGCGATCACCACCCATACGTTTTCCACTCAAGGAGACTACCACCTATACATCACTCCAATCAGGGAAACTACCACCTAAGCATCCTTCCACTCAAAGAGACCACCCCCCATACATCCGTCCCACTGAAGGTGACCACCCCCCATACATCCTTCCACTCATGAAGACGAGCACCTATACATCATTCCCCTCAGGGAGACCACCACCAACACATCTTTCCACTCGGGGAGACAACCATCCATGCACAAAGTCAGTCAGCCAGGGAAGACACAAGTGTGGGACGGCAGTCCGCGAATTAGTTCAGTATTCTCGGATTTACGTACCAGTGAGCCAAAACATAGTTTTAATCCTATTAAGGGTACAGCAACGCAGTGATAGCGTATCATAGTGAATTCTTATAACGTTAGATAAGAAAAAATGAAAAAGAACGAGTTTGTGGCAAGACAGTGGCACCAGCGAGCAGTGGTGATGAGGGAACAATTGGACCATCACGTGGAGAGGAGCTCTGGCCTACAGGGACGACAACAATTAAGGTGGACATCGCTCTATAAATCATCTACTTGTGTTTTGGGATGCTGACTTGGAGGTAAGTGCCTCTTAAAGTCAGTCATACACAGTGTACTGTGTTCCTAATATAATAATTAGCTTTGGATTTAAGTTAAAATACGAAAAAGTAGCTGAAGAGTTTCAGCTTGGTATTAGTTTTATAGATATACATAGATATAGCATGGGAAACAGAGCTCAGGGGAAAGACGGCCCAAGATATGATGGATTACATCACACAGAAGTGCAAGGACGCAGCAAACAAGTTTGTCCCAGTCCAAAAGGAAAACAGAGAAATGAAAATGAGAAACCCATGGTTTAATCAGAGATGTAGGCTAGCTAAGCAGCAAAGTAAAAGGGCATGGAGAAACTATAGAAATAACAGGACACTGGAGAGCAAAGAAAGATACCAGAATGCCAGGAATGAATATGTCAGGATGAGAAGAGAGGCAGAAAGACAATACGAAAATGACATCGCAAGCAAGGCAAAGAATCAGCCTAAATTGTTGCATAGCCACATCAGGAGAAAAACAACAGTAAAGGAACAGGTTATGAAATTAAGGATAGTGGCGGAAGGATTCACTACAAATGACAAGAAAGTGTGTGAGGAATTGAATAAGAAATTCCAGGAGGTCTTCACCTTAGAGCAAGGAGAAATTCCAGAGGTAAGGGAGGGAATAGCTAACCAGGAACCACTGGAAGAGTTTGAGATTACCAGCGGGGAAGTAAGGAAGTGTTTACTAGAGTTGGATGTGACAAAAGCTATGGGCCCAGATGGAATCTCCCCTTGGGTTCTAAAGGAAGGAGCAAGAAAACTGTGCCTACCACTCTCCATAGTGTATAACAAATCACTGGCAACAGGGGAACTGACAGATATTTGGAAAGCAGCTAACGTAGTCCCGATATACAAGAAAGGGGATAGACAGGAGGCACTGAACTACAGGCCAGTGTCCCTAACCTGCATACCATGCAAGCTGATGGAGAAGATTGTGAGAAAAAAACTAGTGGAACATCCGGAGCGAAGGAACTTTGTAACACAGCATCAACGTGGGTTCAGGGATGGCAGGTCCTGCCTCACAGGGTTACTTGAATTCTACGACCAGGCAACAAAAATAAGGCAAGAAAGAGAAGGGTGGGCAGACTGCATATTTTTGGATTGTCAGAAAGCCTTTGAT